CCATCCACCATCCACCATCCACCATCCATCCATCCATCCATCCATCCACCTATCCAACCATTCACTCGTTCACTCGTTCATCCCAATCCTGTATTGTATTCTCGCTCCACTGATTCACGCACCGCGCTATGCTTTCATGTTTCGGTTGATGTAATCAAAACCAATACACCAAATTTCGTCAACCTTCGTCCTCAGGTGGTTGTTGTCGAAGATGTAAGGCTTTATGTTTAGCAGAGGTTGCGCATTTGAAAACCGGAACGATCAAGTCACTCACCAGTGCAGTGGTTTCACACCTAGTTGAAACAAATCACACTATGAAAGTGTCCGAGGCTTTCCGACCGCCTGTATAAAGTTCGTGGGTGATTATCGAGGCAGGTTCGCTGTCGGATGCTGGCCACAACAGAAGCGGTGGGCTTTTGTCTGCACGACCACCCTCTGTGTCCCCGAAAACAATTTGTGCAAGCGCTAAAGCCTCCCTGGCCCACCCCCCACACACGCCCTTTCACGTGTAATCTTGATGATCGGATGAGTGGACAAACCAATGTGTGATCATGATGAGCCCGATTTCTGGTCTCACGATGAACTCATTTCCAGTAATCTGTGAGTTTATTTTGTTTCATTTTCCCAAGACAATTTTATTCCCAAGTAGTGATATATTTTGAGATATATTGGCATGAATACGAATCTATGAAAACGAGCTTGTTCTCCAGTCTGTTGTTCTGTCGGAAATGTGCTCTGTGGGATTATTTCGACAAAAACAATAATCAATGGTAATCTTTGTCTGATACTCTGATGTTATCATAATCTGCCCAAGTATGTATTCACTCCTTCCTTGTGAACCGTGGAGAAACTAGTGCACAGGACCAAAATCAAAGTTCAAATTTTCCCATTCGAATGCGTGAATAAAATATGAAACCGGACTGAAGAATCTCTTGCAACCCTGTTTTTCATGCCTTATTGAGAACAACTTATTGCAACACAAAGTCCCAACGCACAATGGATGTTCCAATATTCGTGCATAGAAAGATCAGATTTTACTATTGGGTAGTAAGACAGAGTAATCAGAAAAGTACCTCGGATCACTGAAACGCGGTGCCACCATTTGACATGTCCCAAAGTGTATAAAACTGCGAGTCTGTAACCACAGATAGGTAAATTTTATCTGCCTAACCGTAGCTACTACGGTGATGAGGGTGGCACAGACTGATAGGAAAATTGTTTGAATGGAATTTCTGAATCATCGAACAACGCATACCAGGATCAGAAACTGTGAGCGTGCCCACGATACGAGAGGATATGCCCAAATAAATCGAACGAATATGAACCTGGCTAATTGTATGATTTCTTGACTGAGATCCAACAGCATCAACTCTTCTGGTTCTCAGACCTAATCCCTAGCGCACTCACATGCACAAGCCCCAATTATCTGATTCAAGTCAGGCTTCATTCGTATCTCCTTCACTCTTTTGCTGTTGAAGGTCAGTTGCGGACTGTCAGGGTACGGAGAGATGAAGGATTAACCAATGTAGCGTATCGTGATGGTAGTAAATAAAATGTGTAAACACATAGAGCTGATCGATCGTTGTTACACATTTTAACCTGATAGTCCCCACAATAACAACAACAACAACGACGACAACGATGATGACAACAACAACAACTCGCCCCTTTTATTCGGATTCACTCGTGCCCTGTGTGTCTGTACTGCTTTTCATCCATCACTTTCCTGTCTTAGTATTTGGCAAAAGTCTATTTTGTATCAACGAAAAATATATCTCACGTAAGTTTTGTACTGTACTTGCAATTGTTCGACTTTATTCTATATATATGAATATATATATTTCCAACATGCATTCTTTTTCCATGTTGTTGTTGTTGCAATTACTTAACTGAACTTGACTTGCTCCTCTCCATGTGACAATTCGCCTAACCACTGATTCAATTACATCACAAATTTTGTGCGGAAATTCCATTCCGTTAGATTCCAACAGATTAATGTAATCGATCTATCCGGTACAGCAGATGCGTTGTCAACGGAAAGCAAGGTAAAAGAGGACCGATCATCATATGCGAGTGAGGATGCACACGCTATTCAGGAGTTTGACAGATCTAACCCGGAGCGAACGCACTAGACCGAATTGGTATATCAACGAGCGATTAGATTTCTCTCCCTAGACCATTCTTTGCCCATTACGGAATAGTCCTGCGATGAAGCACACCAATGTTTCTGGGTTCTCCTAGCAGTTTAATCCATCAAATTGTCTATCACTCAGCTTCGGTGGGTAGCCAAAGATGTACAGGTTTACTGTGACCGTACTACTGAATGGAATACTGTGAGCAATTTAAAACAAAATAAAATAAAATAGGATTTTACAAGATAGATTTTAAAATTAACTTTGAAACGAAGGACGATTCGAATGCATGCCAAGGCTACTTAAGTTTGATCACAAACTATCACGAACTAATCGACCTCAAAGTGATTGCCATAGTAACCGACTTCCCATTAGCCATAACTAAAACGTGAACTATCGAGTACGACAACGATGATATCGGAGAAAGGAAAGTAGGACGATATAAACTCAGTTGGAATACAGATCGTGTTCGTTCTCCCTCACAGCCTGGAGCGCGTCTATGTAGCAATGTGTTATTTATTACAAGAGCTATGAAAAGCGATCCCTCACAATGATCTATTATCTTAGAACATAGCAGTGCACTCCTGATTTGGCGACAGTTCTTGCTGGATCCACATCCGTACAGTCCGTAGGGCCAGGATGTGGTACGTTGACATCAGTAAACCTTCGTGATTTGTAGGAAAATATGGACAAAGCCGCTCAGGAATCGCATGAACTGTACGATTAGAGCGATTGGATGAATCAAGAATGACCCAATCAGGTCTAACCGATAGATCAAGTACTTCCTACGAATGTAACACGTTGTGCAGAACACCATGATTGAGCAAAAAAAAGAAAGCATTGCTCAGGTTACATTGAACATAATTCTTTATTGGGGTGTTGATTGTGAGAAATAAGTTACCATAAGTGTACGCATCTAGAAGCATTTTCGGTGTACAATACCCGGACCGGATTCGTCGTATTCCTGTTTGGTGATCCACATCTGGTGGAAGGTTGACAACGAGGCCAAGATGGAACCACCAATCCAGACGGAATATTTGCGCTCTGGTGGAGCCACAATCTTGATCTTCATTGTGCTTGGAGCCAAGATGGTGATCTCCTTCTGCATACGGTCAGCGATACCAGGGAACATGGTTGAACCACCGGACAATACAATGTTGGCGTACAAATCTTTACGGATATCCACATCACATTTCATGATGGAGGTGTAAGCAGTCTCGTGCAGACCGGCACATTCCATACCCAAGAAGCTTGGTTGCAAAATGGCCTCGGGACAACGGAATCGTTCGTTTCCAANGGTGATCTCCTTCTGCATACGGTCAGCGATACCAGGGAACATGGTTGAACCACCGGACAATACGATGTTGGCGTACAAATCCTTACGGATATCCACATCACATTTCATGATTGAATTGTACGCAGTTTCATGCAGACCAGTACACTCCATACCCAGGAAGCTTGGTTGCAAAATGGCCTCGGGACAACGGAATCGTTCGTTTCCAATAGTGATCACTTGACCATCAGGTAACTCATATGATTTTTCTACAGACGAGCTCTGAGTAGCAGTACTCATTTCATGATCGAAATCCAAAGCGACATAGCACAATTTCTCCTTGATATCTCGAACGATTTCTCGCTCGGCAGTAGTCGTGAATGAATGACCACGCTCCGTGAGTAGTTTCACCAGATAGTCAGTCAAATCACGACCGGCCAAATCCAAACGCATGATCGCATGTGGCAGAGCGTAACCCTCGTAGATTGGTACAGTGTGACTCACACCATCTCCGGAATCCAACACAATACCAGTTGTACGACCCGAGGCATACAAAGACAACACGGCTTGAATAGCCACATACATGGCCGGAGTGTTGAACGTCTCGAACATGATTTGAGTCATCTTCTCACGGTTAGCTTTCGGATTCATCGGAGCCTCCGTCAACAGGACTGGATGTTCCTCCGGTGCGACACGTAATTCGTTGTAGAATGTGTGATGCCAGATCTTTTCCATATCATCCCAGTTGGAAACGATCCCATGTTCGATGGGGTATTTCAAGGTGAGGATACCCCGTTTCGATTGAGCTTCATCACCGACATAACTGTCTTTCTGTCCCATACCNGTCTCCGGCGAAACCGGCTTTGCACATACCCGAACCATTGTCCACTACGAGTGCAGTAACTTCATCCTCCATGGTAGTCTTTTCTTTTGGCTCTGTAACACGCGAACATGGGACTGGATTCTGTTTATAAACCTTTCGCTATGGCCTTATATGGTATTGGGTTTGCTTT